GGCGCAACGCCCTGTCCGAACCTCGCCCTTATTAATATACGTGGCGCATGGTGAAAACGCCCGGCCGTACGCGGCGGCGCACCTGAAATATGTCTGCGTGCACCTGGAGAAGAGAAAGAGGGGTATATTTTTCGACGCAGTCGGGGAAGAACGTGAAAAATCACGCCTATTAATAAAACTGCGGCAAAAAGCTTTCGGTGCCGCGCAAGCAGTGGGCCAGATGGTTAACGGGCGTGGTTAGTTAGCCCGATGACTCGCGAGTCACTGGAGTTTACGCAAAAACCCGCGATGCTTTCGTCGAGATATGAATTTATCGATCGTAGAGTAGAAGTGATGATGCGGATTTATATTGCAGAGTGCAATATTAAAAGTTGACGATCAAGTTTTGCTATCTTAATCAACGTGTAAGAAATTAAACTTGGATAACAATCATCTTACGTATATTAAAAAAAAATTAAATTTTAACATTTATTATTTAAATAACTAAAATTTACGGTCGACACTGTACTTGAATAAAAGATTTTAAAATTAATGAACAGAACGGTAAAGTAGTTTTACAATGGAACAAAGATTCTGACAGCGCATATTATAATATTATATTTTTAAATTACTTTTAATTTCTCCTCAATTTCCCATCACAGCTCGTCCTCCTTTCACTGCTGTAGCAGGTAAGCCGAGATGGGAAATTAATTCAAAAATTTGCGGTAGCGCCTGCAAGAGTAGCACGTGAGCTGAAAATTGATTCTTCCGTGCTTCCTGGATTATCCACTGGCGACTTCGATTTGCATTCGAGTGCGCCTGGTCGATCATAAATTCCGATGAAATATTCTCAAGCAGATACTTCAAGTAGTACTTAGTAGAAAATCGACTGTCTCTTCTACGATAGTAAGCAAGTTTTTAGCTTACTACGAATATCGAGAGAAGCGTTTTAAGCCTGGACACAAAAGAAGATCATCGGAAATATGACAACCGATAAAGCAATAAAGGCTGTAATAATAATTATTTCAAAAAAGTCTCTTGTCAAATATTAATTTCTATTTAAGCCACATTTCTATATTTTGTCATTTTTTTTTTGTATACGGTTTATTGTAATAGAATTTTAACGCGATTTATTTGTTTGTCAATTTGAATGGCAAAAGGATATGTGGCGATCCATCGACATTATGTCCGTCGAAAACGCGAAACGACATTGTCAATATTTCATTTTAAATTCGGACGCTTTGCAAATTACAGCAAAAAGGCGCCTGGTGACGCGAGATACATATAGGTGGTGGTAAAAAAAAAAAAAATTTCTGACGGTGGCAAGATACAACCACGAGAATGTAGTCGAGACCCGTAAATTATGTGCGGAATTATGAAAAAGGGGGACACGGTTGCCCCGGTCACCGGGTCGCGCAACCTCGGTTGACCTTTTATGCCAAAATGCCGGCTCCCAGCCAGCGTCCCGCTCTTTGACATCGGCTGTACACGGTAAGCGGTATATCGATGACAGATAAACGAGTTTGGCGAACGGGCGGATGCGCCATAAAAAGAAAGTCTAACGATCCAAGCGGAATCGACAGGATATGTGCCGCGTTTAGATGCGCATGCTGCCAATATCGCTATTTCGGCCGATATCAATTTCGCCATTGCTCGGGCCAGCACAGTTACAGTTACGACGCGATAGATTCGCAATGCTATTCGAAAATAAAACGGAGTTCTAACTAGTATAGGGGAGAAAAGCCGAAAATATCGTCTCTTTTTTTTTGTTGCAAAAGCTGTGAGTGCATGGAATCAATGGAGAAATCAAATTTCTCATCTTAATGACGAGATTGCTCTATTGTGTGCTATGCATCACTTTCGCCTGCTACGTAAGCTTCTATATTCAAGAATGTTTGGAAATTTTCCATTAATTGTTTCATAAATTTCCCTTGCTCGAAGCTGCTGAATGAACCATTTATCAGTGCGATTGATAATGAAGAGATAATCGGCGGGGCTTAAGATAAAAGAAAGCGCTCTGTACACTCATTAATTATTCACGTCGGAAAGACTTTGCAAAATTGCCCAAGTTTCCTCGCAAGAAGATAGTAAAGGGGCCACGGGGGAAGCGATCGTTTTCACGAACTCTTGTTTCTAGAGCCGAGACTCATTTAACTCGGTTACGAACACAAACACGTCGTTAACAACCCGCATCGGAGGATCAAAGCCTCTTAAAGTGATTTCCTGGTCGCGGCACGGACCGGGTTTGTCAGAGAATTCCCGTAATGATATCTAACGAAATCAGACCTACACGAGAGGCAGGGTTAAATGTCGGAGTCTTTCGCGTTGTGTATCTTGCGGAAAACGTTATTTGTCTCGACGTGAATTTTAAATGTTATTTGTCTCGAGATAAATAGCACTGAGTTTAGTCAAACAATTCTATTATGCAGTAACAAATATTAACACACTAAAGTGCAACGATACAGGTCCATTTTGATTTTCGATATCACAGTCCCTCCATGAATTAATTCGGCCAGTCGATGAGGGCGTTGGAAATTTAAGTTGTGCGCAACGTGCGAACGAGCGAGAATATAGCCATTAAAATCGATAAGATACAATTTAATTAAGAGCGAATGCTGTTAATTATGCATGTTAATTATGAAACACTTTCCCGCTATAATGGCGGCTCGTATTTTTTCCAATACAATTTTATATTATTCACAAATAATTTTATTGGTTTTTTTTTAAATACGCTTAAAAGATTAATGCACAAATTCTTTAAATTTATTAAAATCGTGTAATTTTGCAAATTGTAATCATAATTTTGCGAGTGCTATGCGAATCTGCGCGTTATAAAGTTTTTTGCACAAGCACTTGGATATCATAGTTATCGTGTTTTTTACTACTTTAGGAAATTTCGAAGTTTAAATGGCTAAAGTTCAAGTTCATAGGAAATATCGCAAAATGTTTTCTTTTTTCTCGAAACGTAAGAAAAGTAAAAACTATTCGCGATTTTATTTGCAAACTTTCCTAAATGTGACAATAGTAAAGTGGTACCGCACAAGTAGACGCTGGCATAAGTTTGTTAGGAACTGCAATACAGCTAGAATAATAGGCAGAGACACATACTATAACTTTTGCGATCAAAGTGAAACTGTGCGAGACTCATTAATAAATCACTTAAATGTGCAAGACAGCACGATGTGTTTCGCAATAATTCCCGTTAATTAACAAATTAAATTTTCTGGCAAGTAATAATTTTTTTTCAGAAATTTTTTTAATTCTAGTGCCTCAAGAATTTTATTAAAAATATATTATGACTCAAATCAATTTTAATGGAAACAAAAAAAAATAATTTTGCATTTAAAGAAAGCGTGAAATTGATATTCGACTTTTCCAGAATTCTATTGAATGTATCAAAATTCTAAAAGCGGGATACTAACTTTACAAAAAAGTAGCGTAAGAGGGACATATATAAGTACGATTGGGCCGTTTACTCTATCAATCGCATTCAACTCGATTCCATACCCTTTTGGTGAAATTGGTATCGCTCTCTCTCTCTCTCTCTCCCTGCTTTTATCGCTCCGATGTCTACCGCCCGTACACGACGTGAGACTATCGCGAGCTCTTTCTTTAATCCCGATGCAGGTAGAAATTCCCCGAGAGGCTCCGACGACTTTCCCCGGAGAAATATCTCGCCTCCCCGATGTCTCACCCTCACGACCCTTCTTCTTCTTCCACCATCTTAGCGTGGACCACTGTACCTTTTCAGCGTTGTTCTACCCAAGACCTCCTTCTTCTCCTCCCCTGGCGCTCCTTTCACTCCCCCCCTCCTCTTTCTCGCCGTCGTTGTCCCAAGCCATCCATTCGTTTCTCAGTCTTTCTTACCCCCCCGCGTTCATACGACCCCTTTTCACGCCCTCAAGTTGGCCTTCTCGCTTTTATCGTCGGAGGCAGCAGATTTTCCTCATTTTACTTTTCAATCTCACGGAGGATACGATTTTCTTCCTCATTTCCACTGCGACAATATTGAGGGAGCGCCGATGAGCGACCGGAGTGAAGAGAGAAAACGGCAGTTCTAAAATTTTGCCGACAGTATCGTCGAGGAAAACGAATGGGCAAGGAAAGCGGATGCGACGCTAATCTATTACCAATTAGCGTTAGTGCGCCATTAGAAAGTACGATTTGTCCTAATTTCCGAACGATTAAAATCAATTGTCGCCTGCTGCGAAGTCCGCGTCCGGACTTTTTTTCCCCAGACTCCCAAGTTCTTATTCGTACTTCGGATTTATTCGCTGGAAGAATGTTGAAAGAGGAAAGAAAAATTTCGACTTACCTCCAACACGTGCTCCGCTTGATTCTCACGGTCGAGCTTCCTGCCGCTGGTACTGATGAGACCTGTAACACAAATGCCGCAGAGCGATTAGCGGAATGTCCGACGATTGATAAATAACGCGTTCAGCGCTGCGGCAGGGCGGTAAAACGGTAGCACTTTGGCACAATGACTCTCCCTCGATAAAATCCCTTCGGATGGAAGACAAGGGCGAAGTGCGGCTTTCGAATTGCGGGCGAACGGCAGGCCCTCCATTACCGAGACAAAGATCGGCACGATGGAACGAACACGACGAAATTATAGCGTTCAGATTTTGTCGTGCAGTGCGCGCGAGTACTCGCTGTCTCTTTCAACCGCACCGCCGCGATATCGAGGCTTTATTTTACGTTCCACGGAATCCCTTTCATCATGGACGCGAACTTCGCTCGGAAACTCGATTGAGGGAAAATTCGCGGGCGCAGAGCTGCCGACGTCGAGCGGCATTCTTTTCGGTTTATTATTTTGCGGAGAACTTTCCAAGGAAAAGCGGCGGTAACTGCTAATTACGGTGAACTAATTAATAAAAGAAAAAAGAAAGGTATTTTTGGACGGCATAAGTATGGCGTAAAGCGTGAAGTTTGTCTAATAGAGGTGAGCTTACGTAAAGCCTCCACGAGATGCAAGCGCAGCGGGAGCTTCAACAAAGCGACACCGCTAAACAAAAAAGGGAAGCCCTTTAGCACATAGCCGCGCCTGTACAAAGCCAAGCGCGGTCTTTTTTTTTTTATTAGTCTTACGGCTTCCGGTGACGGCCCAGATTTTATATTACAACGCGAGCTGCTAATCGAGTTACGAGGAAGCCGTTGTCGTTCCGCACGGAGCTTCGATCCGCCGCGCCGGCAAGGCGATGCTCGACTCTCGCAAGCTTGCGCTTTGCGACCTCGTTATGATCAGCATAGCGTGAATACGAACTCATACAACTGATACGGAGCGCGGCCATTAAAACGAACTAGGTCCATGTTTTTTTTGGAAAGCAAACACCCGTTGCGTGTCGAAACGTTGCGTAACAGAGCGGTGTTTTAAAAGCCGCAATAAGACCAGAGTGCAAAAACAATTCGCGGAAAAACCTATGAATCTTTGATTCTGTTTTTCATTATTATTTGTTTAGTCGATTTGAAGCTTCGATTAATTACACCTTTCCTTTTTTTTTACATTTTATCGACCATTTTGGGCTGTTGAACGTACTTTTACCTTTAAATGGAAAGTACGAGAAAAGAGGATGGAGGCAGCGGCGGAAGCGTCGCGATGGACAGAAAAAAAGGGGTATTGCGGGAAGTGGCGTTCGATCGAGCCGCGAACGCGAACGCACAGAACCCCGGCGCTGTAGAATGCATTTAAATAATTGCTTTTCGTTTTCGTACCTCATCCTCTCTGGACCCCATGTCGACCCGAGGCTTCGCATTTTGATAGGAACGCACGTCCACGCGCCCGCGCACGCGTGTGCACGCAACGCGGGAACAACGGCGTATACGACCGCGAATAAGCCCGGGGAGGAAAATTCGTTATCGAAAATCAGCGCTGGACGGGAAATTCGATGGAATTATTTGCGATATTATTCGCGCTTTTCGTTCACGGCGCGCGATCGCTGATCGCGGCGCGGTGTCGCAAAAGGCGAGCTCTACCACGATTGCGATAACGACGGATTTATCTTCCCTAGCGCGTAGATCCCAATGGACGTCGCGAGGACGTTTTTCTTAAAGCACCGGGTGGAACGCTCGAGTAATATTTTATGATGATAGTGAAAAATGCTTCCGGGGTAACGGCGTCGGAGCAACTGGAAGGCCGCTTAAAGGCCGCTCATCTCTCGCCGAGAGAAAGTTTTATCGGGATTATTCCCTTATGACGAGCTAAGATTATCTGTCTCTCACGGACGGCGCGCTGCATCGTCGAACATTTTATGAAATTTGCCTGTCGGGTCTCGCATTAAAGAAATTGCAAGTTTCATGACACAAATAAAAATCAAAAGGCTGATTAAGTAGGTCACCACCTGGAGTGTTTTTGAAAGTCGAGTTTACTCGTCGATTTTTTAAATCGCATAGAAAAGTGTTCAATTAGATAAAAACACGACGATTCACGAGAATTTTCTGCGAAAAGAAATACGATGCAGCATTTGCATTATTATTAAAAAAAAAAAAAACCCCCCCGAGACGCATTAATCAAATTGATACAAATTGTGACGGTTTATAGCAATAACACGGCGAATTAGCGAGCAATCAGCAAATATATTCGCGAATAAAATCTCACATTTCTCCACTTTTCGCGTAATTAATGAAATTAGTCGGGCATATTTGCAACGCCCACAGCTGGTCAACAAAAACCCGGGGATTTCTAAAAGCGACCCGCGGAATCCGAGTCATCAGAGCTTAGCGGGGTTTAATTAATACCGCGTTTTACGTTCTATTTACCCGCTATATCACGTCGCGCGGAGACATATTTTTGCGCGGCGACGCATTATCCGCCGAAAGCGCGATAAAATGCGCGATTAGTTTACACGAGCAGTTACACGAGGTACCGAGGGTCGTGTAACGCTTACGACGTGCTCGTTCGTTCGCTCGTGTAAGCTCGTTCCCGCGGGCGAGGTCGTATTACCTCGTATTACTCGACCAAGATCTATCTAATCTAATTTCGTACTACCATATAACACCACTATTGTTCTCTATCGTCGTATCTTAGCTACGTGTTACCATAACTAGAGAAGTCCGCGCTCGAATGCGCCGAGTAACACCTGAGATATATATTGTATATATATATATATATTCCTAAAGAATGAAAATTCTCGTACGCTACGTTATTTTTCATCCGGAGCACTTTGTTAAAAAAAAGCATAAACTTTTGACGAGAATAAGATACCGTGTAACTAAATTAAAGATTAAAAAGATCAAAAGATCCGGCATTTTCATCGCTTCTGCAAAACTCCGGATATAAGTGACTCTTTCATACGTGCGTTTATGAAACTTTTATTTGCATACACCAAGGTTTACAGTCTTAAATCATAAAACAACGCCCCGCCTCGCGCCACGTAATAATGTTAATGAGGGCGGAGGAACGGCGGTGTAATCGTAAAGCATATGCATGCAATATACCGTGACGCGCTATTTCAGCGTGCATTCTGGAGCGCATGATGGAGTAGCTTTTTGCCGGGCTGACCTTTTCCATCGGCGTTGCCCCCTTTCCCGCGACGTTCCGGGAGATTAAAAAACCGCGGTCTCCTTGCTTGTTATCGGACGTTCGCGAAAATTGATTGAGAGGCCGCGGCCGCGGATGATTGATGGCGCGCGGATGCGAGAGAGGCGATCGCGCGTAGCGAAAGTGAAGTGATGCATTAATCGAGTGATTTAATTGCGGAAACGAGCTCCTGCCCGATCGACCGCGACTCTTCCTGAAAAAGATGGGACGCTTTTACGATAGGCATCCTCTAACAAGCCACGAAACAATATTGCAATTAACTTTGCGCGACGTCGCTCGGCAAAAACAACAATCGTCCATTTTCTCAAACGCTGCCAATTTAAAATGAACACGATATCATCAAAAGCATAGATAAGATAATTCCGGAAGTATGCATGATGGAACAAATTAGAAATGAATATACGGTATTCTGCAATCTTCCTTGCGAGCTCTCCAAAAAAATAAAAACGCGCGTGAGTTTAGCATAATCAAAAGTTTCGAGTTTCACCCTAGCTGTGTTTTTATAATATTATAATTACCGACTTAATTGCACAATTATGCGTTACAGCACTGTAACTTCTCTCGGCAGGCGGCGTAAAAACGCATATCGTCGTGGTTGGCCATGTCGGTTTTGCGTTACGTTGCTAATCACGGATGCAGAAGTGAAATATGTTCACTCAAGTCCATTTTATATGATCAATAATACACGAGAGTATTCGCGACAGAAGCTTACCGTAGATTTAAAATGGAATTAAAATTATAGGCAAAACATCGTATTCTGCTATGCTCTGACCATGCAAACCGTGCAGATCGCCGTGAAACAGCTCTTTAAAGAATGCATCCAGTACACTCGCGTTTTACGCCTGCATGAAGAGTATCGTATATCCGGCAGTTCATTCGAGCCCACGACAGTTTCGAGCTATCATAACGCCGTCATTATAAAAAAAAACACGGTTTCTTTCGTTGCCGCAGCTGCGTGGATCCTCCCGACAACGTGTAATAATACCGAGTAAATATGAACCTGCGGCGTATCCGCCGTAGAAAGAAAGAGAGAGAGATCCGGTGCGTTGCGCGGGACAAACATCCGCTTATCCGGTTTTAGTGCAACCGATCGTATTGCACGAGCGCGGGGCAACTCGATATGACCGCTCCGGCTGCGCAAAAACCGAGCGACATCCGTAAACGGCCGCAAGCGCCTCAATAATAAATAATAATCCCGTCGCGCGAAGGCGCCGTGTACGATCAGTCCGCAATAAAACCGACGCTGTTTCTTCTTCGGGGGGGGATAGCGGAAACCAATTTAGTCGGTATTACGCGGAATTTGGAAGCCGTCGGTCCGTTGTATTACGCGCAGTAATTGCTGTTGGTGGAGTGGCATCGCCGCTGCCCGGGGTGAAACTCGGGGTAGAGAGTCGGCGTTAATAGTTTCCGATACACACAACATCGAACTCGCGCGTGTGCGCAATAATATCTGTACTTTTCGTCTAATAGCCCGTTTCGATTCAGGATGGCAAATATTCCAGCATTTAGTTTTCTATTAATGCATGTCCATTTATCTCGATACACACGGCGCAACGGTGAAGCGAAAAACACCAATTTTGGAAAAATATTTTTTCATCCGCTAAACTATATATAAATAAATGAATACAAACGTTGGGAGCGAAAATTAATAATTACGACGCGAATGCACTTTCCGCGACGTAACTTCGATACACGCGTTGAATGTAGATCAAGACTCGCGTGTACAAGTGCTATTTGACCGATGATAACCCGATGACATTTATAGCTGATACGATTGATCGGTTGTTGCGAAGTATTTCCGCTTGGCATACGGCGGAGAGCGACCGCAATACATTTGACGAGTCGCGTTTCATCCGCGTTTTAAGGCTCGTCCAGTAGTCGGATATTCGTCCGATTTTTTTTCCTCGCATGTGAAATACGAAGGGGTCGACGCGAGCCGGCCAAGTTTTGCACAATTCTGGACGTTAAAAGTTGCGCGGATGGCGTACGGCACGCGAAAGGGATCGGCCAGCTGGCGAAGTTTCCGGGATTGGCCGATGAATACAAATCCGACGTCGGCCGACTTTTTCCGCTGTAAATCGCCTAACCAACTTTCATTTTGCGCACTAATATCGATCGCGCACGACTTTCGAAGAATGCAAGATGTCCGTTGTTTGCGACGGCAGAGTGCCTGGCTGGCTGCCAGCAATTGAAACCGCCATAATCTCGACGAATTCAGAGTCCCCGGGCGGAAGTGATGTTTATTTTAATACACTAGCAATTTCATTGTTTCACAAAATTCCTTCTCTGCTATTAACTTCAAGCAGCGTTCTTTCCGCGTAAAGTAGCACTGAAAAATTTAGATTTCACTGGCGCGTTGCTTTCCGTTCCATACCTCGTACCTCTCCTCGTGTGGCTCATACATTATTTCGTCACACTAAACAACGTAACACTGGCTCTTACGTTATTTATGGACGCTCTAAAGTCAAAGGTATGGTGCCGCCCTAGATCTAACGAGCTTGCGAGATAGGCACTCTCGTCGTTTTATAATCTCCGAGCGTCTCACGCGAGGAGGAAGGCTAAGCGAAACGATAAAGGACTGATGAATATGGATCGACGTTCGATCACATGAATTTGCATGTACGGCCGAGTGAAGCAAGAACAACGTATCTTTAAACGCACCTATGCAGAGCGCGCGCGCGCGCGCGGCTGCATTATTACGTCTTTCGGCCGAGAGATGTACACGTCGTCAAAATAAAGATGGATCGTTCCGCTGTCGTGTCGAAAACATAATATTCTATATGCGTCCGCGCGTGTGTAGAAGCACGGAAGCAACGGTGGCGTGTATAAAGGATCGTTCATTAAAGAACCAATATACGGCCTATACTTTTGATTCGGCGGCAACAAAACGAAGACTCGACCCGAAACTCTTTTCACGGAAGCAGCCAATCTGCCGGTTCCACGTAACGGATCTATTAAAACTCTCGTCCGGCAAAATTGAGCTCATTACCGGCTACCGGGTGTGGTTAAAGACCCGTCATCCTGATCCTGCCGCGAGGCCGTATTATTTCGCCGCTGATGCGATACGAGCCGCGCCACGCCGCGCCGCGCCGCGCCGCGCGAGACTTACCGGTGGTAGAGTTGATGAGAAAATAACCCTCAGGATTGCCGCTGCTGATGGCGAAGACGAATTGCTGGGGCGAGACGTCGCGATCAAAGGCGCGGATCTGCAGGACGCTCACGCCGGCGGGCGAGTTCTCCGGTACGGAGGGATAGTAAACTGGAAGTTCGGTCAGCGGCGTGTTATCGTTCTCGTCCAGCACCTCGACGTAAACCTGAACGCGAGAGAGAGACAGAGACAGAGATTGTCTATGAATAAATTGCTAAATAAAATAGCGTTCGTAGCGCGTGCAGGCATTTATATTTGTGACTGTAAAAAAAATAACTGCGACGATTTTTGTAGTATCTCGATTTTTTCGAGATTGCATTTAAACTATTTTTTTTTTAATCCTGTTTATCCCGTTTTGTCGCAGATATACTTTTACTTGGCACCTTTTAAAGAGTCTACAAGGAGGTTTATCCATTTAAGACACAAAATGCTATTATTTGCTGAGAAACGCGAAAAGAAGCACCGCGAAATCGAAATAAAGACGGCCATTAGTAGCCATTTGGTTGAATAGTACACTGAAACTGCAAACGACAATGTTAGTTTCTGTATAGCAAGTGGTGCAAGCGCCTGTTTTTCCGGAAATTCCGATAATTTACGAAATTCAATTGTCGAAACTTACTTGCAGACTCGAGCTAAGCGGAACTACTCCGTGATCCTGGGCGTAGACCGTCAACCAATATCCTCTCTTCGTCTCGACATCGAGCACCGCCTTGGTCCTGATGTTTCCTGCAATGAACAGAGAACGATGCAATTAACTCGAGAACTAGAATGGACGCTGCGAGCGAACAAGCGCGCCGCTGATAATATCCCGGATCTCGTATTATTTAATATTTCGAAATAATTCAATTCACAGTTTCGATCGATATCGCGACACTGGCGGTATCCCTCGCTCAACGAAATATATCGCAGGTGCGAAGCTGTCAAGCGGCTTTCTCAAAAGGAAATCAACATTAAAAAGTGCGAAATAATCGCCGTGTTATGAGACCTTTTGCACCTCGGCGCTCGATATCGCCGTACCGAGGCTCGAAATGAAACGGAAGGCGGCCGGTTCGCGAGGGAAAAAAAGATGGCTGCATTTCCACCTTGTGTCGGCAACAAGAGAGCCGGCAACGTGCACGTCATCACACCGCTAGGTGTATCGCGGCGAGACGGCGGTCGAGCGGGCAACGCAAAAATCGAGCCGCATTCCTGCCGTTAACACATCGGTCAGGCCGGCGCGCACACGGGCTCCGCCGTACAGCCGCTATTCCGCGTGTCTACGACTCGGCTTTTTGCCGAGTTTTCGCCGGATGCGCCGGCGTCTTCTTATTCCGCGCGACAGATATTCCGCGTTCCGCGCTCCTCGCGATTTGTTTAATCGTCGGGATTAACGCGAAGGACGACCGTGAACGCGCCAGCTGTGCTCGCCGCCGTGATGATACCCGATTTATTGTTCGCTAATGTTAAGAGGCGATTTTGTGTTGCCGGAGTGAGAGAACCGACGGGAAAATCGCAAGCCGACGGCTGTTTACGATTTTGTAGCGCAGATAATCAACGTCTTCCTCGCTGCGTATCTCGTTCGCGAGAGCCGCGCTTTCGGTCGCCGCGCTGCTGCGCAATTAGCGAGACATCGAACTCGCTGACGTCGGTTTCAACGTCGATCGCCGGCCGGGATAACGGACTCGATCGTCGGGAGCACGTAATGAACGCTAATTAGAAAACGGAGGATTCGTAAGCATCGTCGCGAATCATAAATTATTGCATTCCGACGAGCCGGCGAGAGTTTTGTCCGCTCGTTTTACAACCTCGCTCGGTTGCATGTCGGTTCGCGCGCACGCACTGTTAAAAAATGCACACAGCGACGGAGCTTGTATTAAACTTGTGATACGCGGTTTTGTTGCTGCTTTTTCCTCGCAGCTTCCGCAGCACAATGCGTGCGTGCTCAAATCCTAGATTTCTCGTTGTCCGTCTAAAGTTAGCGCATGCGATGGGTAAAAAAAAAAGAGGATTACATTTTTAACAATTTCTTTTATGCTGCAAATTTCGTATTAAAGTACACGCGCATCTTCCGTGTATAACTACTTGGGAGGGAAATTCTCTGGATATCCAGCGGATGAAATATTTCGCCGAGTGCATAATTAACATCATCACCGGGAAAAAATGCGACTTTCTGCAGTTAGCGAATGCGAGTCGAGAAATAAGCTCTCTTCGAGTAGCTAAATTTACCGTGGGAATTGTTAAATCTTAATTAACCGCAAACGAACGTTGCCATATAGCGCGCCACACCGCTATACTTCATTCTCCCTCCTCGCCCTCCTACGTCGTTACCTTCGCATTATACGCGCCTCTTCTGTTCATTCAACTGTGGAAGAAACAGATGAAGACACGTGCGGTGCTTAATAGCGGGCGAGCCGGCGAATGCATTAAATTTAGTACCGTAAACGCGACTTATGCGCCATCCTTTCCGCCGTTTTATAACGGGGGAACTTTAGCGGGGAAAAACGGGCCGCGCGCCCGTGCAAGATTGCAAAAATGAATTTTCTCCGCAGCCGATGTTGTAATTTCTGGAAAAGAAGCGGCACCGGGCCGTCTCGAGAAACAATCTGCAACGATACGAAATGCAGATTTTTCTGAGACAGTCAAAACGCAGTCGTCTCTCCCCGTTTCAATAAAGTTCGCGTAAAGTAAATATTCATTAAATGTTCGAGTCCTCATGAATAATGCAAATATTATAAATTGATAAGAATACAACGGCGGGGGTCCGAAGAAATTTCACGGAATATTTTAGCACTTATTATTCGAAATTGCGCGGATTCGATGCTTCGCGGCGGAAATATCTCAAAGATACAGACGTACGGAGAATGTCGGCGAATGACTTTATGAGGGGAAGCCGGCGAGGAAATTAGCTTTCGAAAAGTATTCCGCGTCGCACGCCTCCACATCCGCCCGCAACGCGACTATGGAACGCAGTCACGTTGTATTTCAATCGGGCCTCATCATGGAGGAGCACGTGGGTACGTCGGCAACTCTCACGGGTTCCTTCATGCTCATCCATCCGTTCAGACAGCTGATGAAGGCGCGTGCAGCATTTAATAGCGCGCCAGGGATCGTATTTAATGTGCGCCCGCGCGCAGATTGCAACGAACCCTCGATGCATACGGGCGAAATACCGTACCGTAATATATATTACGCAATGTAACATTATCTGCGAAATTTGCATTTACTTCGGTTTACTCTGCTTCGCAATTATATTGAAAATACCGATTAAATAAATCGTGCAATAATTTCTATATGCACTGTTTGAGAAAAAAGTTAATTGATGTATTTAAAAGCAAACCTCCGTATCTAATAAAATTTTGCATATGTTGAAAAAAAAAATGATAACAATGTCGCCAAACACACAAAGCAATTTATTTTAAAAAAAATTTGTGTTTTAAATATCACAGACTTATATTTTTACAAGCCAAATTATTTTGTCCGAGTGTGGTTTTTTGTTGCCAAACAGTATTTTAAAAATGATTAAAAAATAACACATAAAAATATGATAAAAAATAAATTTCTAAACATATATTGCGTCAAGAGGAAAACGGCAACTGGGCAGCAATTACGACAGTTGGTTAGCAACTTCTTCTCGCGCGACTTTTCTCGTGAATACCGTTCGCTACTCGAGAACGTCCCATCCAGCGACTACAGAATCCGTTTCTAGCGTGACTTTCGTCTTTTGTTCGAGTAACGACGGAGCTGCTTGACGGAAACGGTCGATGGCTTTGCGAACGGAGAAGCTGTAATCGAACCTTCGGTCGTTTCATTTTTGGCTCCGAGAGCCGTCTTTCTCTCTTCCGCTCTTTCATCCGTCTTGTCTGTCCTTCTTCGCTACTCCCATCTTCCCTGAGAAATTTCTCGAATCTTGACGCGGTCTCATATCCGCCTGATTGTTAACCCAGATTCATCACTGATACTTTCGGCAATAATACTCTCGCCGACGATGTGCCCCGTGGACATTCGCGAAGCGTTAACATAACCTTTTTGGACTATCATCTTTTCGGTCGATTATCGTCAAGTGGTGATTGATATTCGATCGGATATCAGAAATTAATGAACGCTCGAAGAGCTGTAGCATGAATTGATTACATCAGTTGGATTTTACCGTTATCAATCTCGAAGATAATGCTACATTCATCATAAACGTCTCAACCATTTGGCGTGCATCTGTAGAATTATTTCAGAAAAAATAAGGAATTAAAAATGCTTATTAAATTGAAAGCAACTTCGTCAATCTTATTGTTACACATTATAGACGTTTAAATCATCCGTGGATCTCTGAGGTACTAAAATCTCTTTACGCGCACTAAAACGATTGCGCTACTTTCATAATATCCTCATTGATTAAACTATAATCTGGGAGATTAAAAAGTTTCACAAGATCTAAGTACAGAAAGTCAGAATTAATGCAGAAAGCTGATAAATGAAACTGCTTGAAATGTTCTTTTTGCCATTATACATTATTTTTTAATTATTTTACATTTTTAATATCAACGCAGAAAATTATATCGCCAAATTTATTATTTCCCGTGGCGTAAAAATATTCCTGCGATACCTGCGTCATTTAAAACCGTCTTCGCTACGTAATTTCGCATTTCGTATTATCTACGCGTAGGAATTTCGTGTATTTGACAAATGTTGGGGGAAAAAATACATACCGTAAATCGCCAGCGGATAAAAACACCACTCGAAGCAAAACTACGAGATATACGTGTCCGTTCGACCGGATTTCTCGGTATGCTCGAGATTCAGAGATGCCGGGGGCATATCGTCAACAGTTCGATTGAAACGCATTTCCGTGGAAAGCTTTTAACGATTAGATTCGAGTAACGGTATACATACGCGTACAAAGGGACGGATGTATATGTAAGGTTATGTGCCAGTAAAATTATGACTGGAAATACAATGAAAAAGCAAAGAATAAGCTCAGCGTTTCAAGCAAATGGAATTTGCTTAGAGATAAAAGCGTACATATTATTTCGATTAAACTACTATTGGCAATTAATCGTCAATCGAGGAAGGTTGAGAAAAAAAATCTTAAGTACGTAATAAAAAGGTCTAAATTAAACACATTAATAAATAATTAATCGAAACTGAATCCTTTGTAGAATTCTGCACGTACCAATTATATCTTCGCGGCGAACATTCCGCGGGCACGTTCTTCCTTTATGATTCGTTCTTGAAACTTTTCCGTAACTCCGCGGGACATCGTGGTACTCTAACAAATTATTATACCTCTAACTCTACCGAGATGTCCAATCTTCTTGCATCGTGCCTCGCCCCTTCCCACCGGCGGAGATAAACGGCTCCACGTTTTTTCCCATTTTCATTGGTTTCCAACTTTTGTAAGAGTACTACTTACGTTTGTCTTTATCTTTATAGCCCGTTCGATAGCCGACGAGCTTTTGTACCAATTTAATCAGCACTTTTACGGGAAATCCACGTGAATTAATAAAGAAATATCTAAGCTAGATAAACGGAGTTTTTTATCAGATTTAGTTTTAAGTGTTTGATGTTTTAATCTGTCGTAAGCTTAACATCGCCTATTAAAGTGTAAAAAGACATGATGCGTTTATATAATATTTCAAAGAGGAGAAATTTTTCAAATAATTATTTTTTTTCTGTTTTGTAATATAGCGCACCAGCAATTTACTTCGTAGACGTTGCCGGAATATCGGAGAAATACAGAGATATGCAAGAAAGCC